GCAAAGTGAGTATCTTCGTGAGCAGCCTGCAAAATAGCATTGTGATTACGCAAGAAATTAAAATTCGGCTGGCAGGGCATTTTGCTTGCACTGCCAAAACTGATGGATAGTGCATTTGCGAGAAAACAAACTACCACTTTGACGGACCCCGTAAATGCCACACACAAATATCGAACAGGTGGCGAGATTAACTGCAGATATAGAGACCAGGATCGAAAGGTTTGGTATCGCGTAGGCACGATAAATCAACAAATCTTTATTTAACCAAAAAAAACTAAGAACGCACGCACTGCTACAGGGGGTCCTTACAGTCCTCGAGGGCTTCAACAACCCCACACATCAATCAGTGCGCCAAAACACAAAACACAACCGCGTTAATTCGGCCATGCTGCGGCTATCGCAGCTTTCCTCGTGAAACAATCCTTCGGCAACACTTTTTTCACACTGATGCAACATGCTCTCTTACGGCAGATTCTGACTTATGTACGCAGTCCATGTCGTGAATGGCCAGCCAACTCGGTGATTCGTCACATTAGGATTACAATATCATAGCTGCATATGGTGTGTGGAAGCAATCCATTAGAGCATCATTAACATGAACACCAGTTATCTGTACAGTTTGCGTTCTCTTTGTATATTTTCTGATGTCTTCAAAAAACACTCGAACAGCGAAAGTGACAAAATGAGGTTTTGAAAACTTTTACAATTTTTCGCCTACCGTTAAAATTTATGTTCATGTTGTTCTCTACAAATTATATTCCAAGATTTTTGACTTCAAAGCTTTTTCCTAGCCATTACCATTAGTCAGTTTGCACGTGTGAACTGAACGGCACTTTGATAGTTGAAACTGTGATGAGAGGTAGTCTCAGATTTCAGTTTTGGCGATGCTGGCGGAGGTGTCCTGCTCTGGTTTTGAGCCGCAGACGTATCTCCGAGAACGCTGCAAGAAATGCTTCCGCTTGCGATCGAAGCATGACGTTGAAAATTCCGACAGTGCCGTAAACGCCACTAAAAGTGGTAAGAGCAGTTCGAATGGACAGCAGCAGCACACCTCCGTAACTGCAAGTAGTAAGTGAAATGTCCGTTAAGCTAAAATCAGCGTATTACTTATAACACGTATAATTCGTATTTTTCTGGAATAATCATTATAATATTAACGATACTGCAATCATGACTAACAACATTATTAACATATCATTATCAGAATATTGAGGGACTGGGCTGAAAAGCATAAAGAGTCGCAGAACTTTGGGTACTTAATTCACTTATCATTTAAATCAAATCCCGCTCGCACTGATTCTATGGGAAGCTTAGGGCCCAGTAACTAGCCCTAGTGGTAGCAAATGGCAACAGAAACCATGTACTGGCAAAGCTGTCGATAACAGTTCCATCTTTCCGAGACTGCTTACAGACAAGCTGATGGCGCGTTATTTGTTAAGTGCTAACTTTCGAATTTTTTAAAGTGCTCATTCTTATCGAAAGATGGCGGCTTGTTTGCTCCTTGTAAGAAGTTGTTATTTTACTAAGACCCCAGCGCAAATTCGTTTCATAACGCTATTTACTGGAACGATTCTCCGCTCCATTATGTTTTAATTCTTTTTACTTCGCTGTGCACACTGCACCATATAGATATTTGATGAACAATAAATGCGTGGCTTTCGATTTTTTTTTTTATTGCTACATCCGCCGACATTCCTTTAAAATATATTTT